TCAAGCAATCATAAGCAAAAAGGCTAGGAAGTTGCATGAGGATTTAATTAAAAAAATGCCTGCAACTAGTGCTGATGTGAGTGAATTTAAGGCCAGCAAAGGTTGGTTTGAGAGATTTAAGAAGCGTAGTGGCATACATAGTGTGATAAGGCATGGTGAGGCTGCCAGTTCAGACCACAAAGCAGCTGAAAAATATGTGCAGGAATTCAAGGAGTACATAGAAACTGAAGGACTGAAACCTGAACAAGTGTTTAATTGTGATGAAACAGGCCTGTTTTGGAAGAAAATGCCAAGCAGGACCTACATTACTGAGGAGGAAAAGGCACTCCCAGGACATAAGCCTATGAAAGACAGGCTTACTTTGTTGATGTGTTCCAATGCTACTGGTGATTGCAAAGTGAAGCCTTTATTAGTGTATCACTCTGAAACTCCCAGACCGTTCAGGCAAAAGAATGTCCTCAAGGAGAATTTGTGTGTGCTGTGGAGGGCAAACAGTAAGGCATGGGTCACTAGGGACTTTTTCTATGACTGGTTACACCATGCATTTGCCCCCAATGTGAAAGATTACCTAACTGAAAAGAAATTAGAACTTAAGTGCCTCCTGGTGTTAGACAGTGCCCCTGGTCATCCTACAGACGTGGCAGAGCGACTTTATGGGGACATGAAATTCATTAAGGTGAAGTTTTTGCCTCCTAATACCACTCCTCTCCTGCAGCCCATGGACCAGCAGGTTATTGCAAACTTCAAAAAACTGTACACAAAAGCTCTGTTTGAAAGGTGCTTTGTAGTGACCTCAGAAACTCAACTGACTCTAAGAGAGTTTTGGAGAGAGCACTTTAATATCCTCAATTGTGTAAACCTTATAGGTAAGGCTTGGGAGGGAGTGACTAAGAAGACCTTGAACTCTGCTTGGAAGAAACTGTGGCCAGAATGTGTAGACAAAAGGGATTTTGAAGGGTTTGAGGCTAACCCTGAGAGGATTATGCCAGTTGAGGAATCCATTGTGGCATTGGGAAAGTCCTTGGGGTTGGAGGTTAGTGGGGAGGATGTGGAAGAGTTGGTGGAGGAGGACAATGAAGAACTAACCACTGATGAGCTGATAGATCAACTTCAAGAGCAAGAGGCCAGACCTGAGGAAACTGGTTCAGAGGAGGGGAGAGAGAAATTGAAGAAGTTGCCTACTACAAAGATTAAGGAAATCTGTGCAAAGTGACTTGAAGTGCAAACCTTCATGGATGAAAATCACCCTCACACAGCTATTGCAAGCCGTGTTGGCAACCTGTACACTGACAATGTTGTGAAACACTTTAGGGAAGTCATAAAGGAACGAGAGGTACAGGCCACTATGGACAGATATGTTGTGCGAAAGAAGTCCAGTGACTCTGAAGCTGGTCCTAGTGGCATTAAAAGAAGAAGGGAAGTAACCCCAGAAAAGGACTCGACACCTCAAGTCTTAATGGAAGGGGATTCCCCTTCTAAACACTAACATTCTCTCTCCCCTCCTCCCATCCCATCAATCATCACCAGATCTTCAATAAAAGTAAGTGTCATGTAATTGTGCATGCCTTTTTCAGTTTGTGTGTATTAAAATTAACATTTCATGTGGTAAAATTTTTTTTTTTTCATACTTTTGGGTGTCTTGCACGGATTAATTTGATTTCCATTATTTCTTATGGGGAAAATTCATTCGCATACCGATTATTTCGCATACCAATGAGCCCTCTTGCACGGATTAAAATCGGTATGCGGGGGTCCACTGTATATAGAAGAATAAAGGAAATAATATATTTTTCCAGTGGTGGTGACAATGAAAGTATCTGGTGAGGCCCTGAAGGGCAGTGATGAACCATCCAGGAGGAATCCCAGAGGAAGGATAACACAGGACTGCAGTGAGTATGCCCCTTATATAACCTTTCTGGAGGTCCTTCTCACTGCCTGTTATGAATTCCAGGCTTGTTATGAATTCGCATGCTTCTCGTAATTGAGTAGGGAACGCGAGTATAACTTCTTAATCAAGGCTTCTTGACTTATCCGTTGGCTGTTAGTGTGCAACAAGTGAAGTCCGTGGTTAAGATTTGTTTGGATTTATAATAATACACACTTAAAACTGTACTACTGTAAATTGTGTTACTTGTAATATTTTGCTGCCTCTCTATTGTAAATTGTACAAATTGTAATACTTTTTGCTACCTCTCTTTTTATAATAATACATAATTAAAATTTACCACTAATAACCTATGTCTAGTCTTAAGTAGTGTGTAAACATTAGTATTAAGTCTGCGTGAACTGCTCATGCATGATAGTGGCTTTCTTTGTGCTTAACAATATTTTATTACATGTAAACTACATGCTGTATACTACACAAATAAAGTTGTTTGTTTGTTTTCTTTATTTTTAACGTGGAGTGTTAGCCGCTCAGGATAACTCAAGAAAATCAGTGTGTCATCAAAGACTATCTTATTTCCAATAGGGTCCTTAATCTTATCCAAGAGGATGTGACTCACACAAGTCGACTAACACCCAGGTACCTACTTACTGCTAGGTGAACAGGGACGGCAAGTGGAAGACAATATGCCCCACATTTCCACCCATGCTGGGGATTAACCCTTTGACTGTTTCAGCCGTATATATACATCTTACAAGCCAGCATTTCAGACGTGTATAGTATACTCAAAAATTCTAGCGGCTTCAAATCAAGCAGGAGAAAGCTGGTAGCCCAACATGTGAGAGAATGAGTCTGTGTGGTCAGTGTGCGCTGTATAAAAAACCTGCAACACGAAGTTCATAATGAGAAAAAAAAATCTGTGTGTGTTTTTGGATTAACACACTGAATTTGAGGTGTATTTTCATATAGCATTTATAGATGTATTCTTGGTCTCATTTGAAAGAATGGAAAATTATAACAAGAACAATTTATTTTAGCCTAACCCAACTAAATATATTTTAGATTTGTTTACAGTAATTTAATACTAAACAAACTCAGTGAAATATATTTTTTTCGTTAGGTTCAGAAATAGAGATGATTCTGATTAGTTTCACTATGAAAATGACCTTGAAAATGAGCTCAAAAAAGCAGAAATGTTCTATTTTTACCAATGTTCAAGAGTAAACAAATCATCCAACACGTCCAATACACATCAACTGGTGAGCTTAATATTCTTTCACAAGTGCACTGTTATTATTTATACCATTTTACAATAAAGTAGTAGTCTACATTACAGTAAATCTTCTATTTTTTGTCTCCAGGGGGGCCTGGAGACATGACTAATGAATAGAGGAAATGTTATTTTAGTGCCAGGAATGTCTGCATTGTTTATTCTGGACCCTATTTTGAAATTGGCATTTTTTTTAATTTGTGTGAAATTGGCCAAATTGCCAAATTCTGACCACTTTATTGGGTAGATGAAATCGGTAAATGGGCGGTTTCTTGTACTCAATCAATGGAACAAATGGAGTTCTAAAGAAATAGCCAAGTTTTGCCGACTGGAATAATGGAATTATCTGAAAATAGGGCTCAAAGTCGGTGAAATCGTCGATGAGTAACCATCACCGAGATCGCTAACTTCGTGAGAGCGTAATTCTATAAGTTTTCCGTCAAATTTCGTAGTTTTGGTATCATTAGAATCGGGAAAAGATTCTCTATCATTTCATAAGATAAAATCATCTTTTTTTTTTTTGGAAAATTTTGCAACATAGAATGACAGTTTCAAAAATGGGCTTGCGACAGTCGAAGAGTTAAACCATGGACACTGTGTGTGAGGCATGAGCATTGCCAACTGAGCCATGGAACACCTTCTGTTGAGGGTTGGCCATAGTGACTTTTCTCTGAGATATCAGCACAAATCCTCCTTAAAACAATAAGCCCTACCATCTCCTGACAACAAAAAAGTCACTTCTGCTACTGCTAGCATGAATCAGTAGGTCTTCTACAGTGTTCATGTTCTTGTTTCCTGCACTTCACTAGGTTCACATTATATACCCTGTGTACTCACCTATTTGTGGTTGCAGGGGTTAAGTCACAGCTCCTGGTCCTGCCTCTTCACTGATTGCTACTAGGTCCACTCTCTTCCTGCTCCAAGGACTTTATCATACATCACCTTAGAGCTATGTATGGATCCTGCCTTCACTACATCACTCTCCAGATTGTTCCACTGCCTGCCAACTCTATGACTGAAGAACTACTTCCTAACATCCCTGTGACTCATCTGAGTCTTCAATTTCCAGTTGTGTCTCCATGTTGCTGTGTCCCATCTCTGAAACACACTGTCTCTGTCCACCTTGTCAATTCCCCTCTGTGTCCTTGCATTATTGTATTAGTTTGATAAAGCTCCTGAAGAGAATGTAGTTGTAATAAATACCTCATTAGTTGCTTGTATTCTTTTTACATTGTCAAAAGTTCTACCAGCATTTAAACATAATATTTATAACTTTTAGCAGTAATATGCTCACAAGAAGCATTAGCCTGGAACAATTCAATGGTAAACTTTATGTAGCCAAGTATCAAAAGTATTGTTAGTAACCTTAATATGTACAAGTATATTAGTTAAAATTATGCAGATTCCCTTGGGAATTATAATCTATGTCAACCATAACTCACTGATAATGTCTCGAAAAATCAGCCTACATCTTATATGCTGAAGGTCAGGGTCAAGGATAGGCTCTGGGTGAAGTTTCAGCTGTTGTTTAATTATAATTATGACATAACTATTTATCATACATTCCAGAGGAAAAGAATGATCACTTAAATAGGAAAGTTCCTAGTTAGAGGAGGTATTAAAATTCGCATGTTAGAAATGTTAGTAATAAAACCAGTCACCAATAACAATAATACAACTCACTGCAGTCACAAGTTACTATTAATTCTAGTGGCCATTAAATGAGAATTTCTCAAAAAGGCAGACCTCACAGAATATATAAAAAAAGTATATTGCATCAATCAAGTTTTTTTTAGTGTGAAACCAATAGTTTGTTGTGAGTGCAGTTGAATGGTCACAGCCTACCCCAGCCTCAGAAGGTTTTTTGCCCTTCCTGTACACCACCCAGCAGCTTGTCTTCTACATCACTTATGAAGCGATTCGTGATAGTGTTCAAGAATCCAAAGCTGAAACCATGTGGAAAGTTAAAGCAATGTAAGGAAGAGAGAGAGTACAACAATGAATATTATATTAAAAAAAACTAGTTCTGAGTAAAATAAGAAGACCTGGAAGACCTCTGTATCTCTGAAGCTGATACTCAAGTTTAAAAAAACTGTTAAGTTACCAGGAAACTGCGATGACTGGTTCAGTCTTCCCATTACAAAGTTTGTGCACGAACAACTGAAAACAAACAAGTCAGGTACACTCTGTGCTATTCTGTATTAGAACTAATGGCAATGCCTCAATATTTTCCATGAAGCAATGCCACAATAAATTGTTACAAACTACATGTACCCATGATGTACAATATGACCTCAGATATCAGTTATGCTCCATTGATCTTTTATGTTTTTTAAAAAGGTCTGATAACTGTCTAGATTTGGTAAACTGCCACATTTTGCAGCATATAAGACAAAATGTCTCAAAAATTCAGCCTACATCTTATATGCTCAAGGTCAAGGTCAAGAATAGGCTCTGGGTGAAGTTTCAGCTGTTGTTTACTAACATTATATTACAACTGCTTGGGAACATAATCTTATATATATATTATATGATCATGTGCCTTATATGCCAGAAAATACAGCAAGTGATTTAAAGTTGATTTCACCTACATTATACAAGACAAAAAATATGCATTATATAAATGTTAGTTTAGAGAGATCAAGTAAGAGCATTAGCATGCAGCCTTTCTCCAGAGTGAGGGAAAAACAGCCTAGTTACCCAGCAAGGAAGTGAAGGACAAAGTTTAAGCCTCATTAAAATACTGAAACAATGTTTCTGATCAATATACCAAAATAATCAATGGAGTACACAAAATGTTAACTTAGTAAAATAAAGGGAAAGTACTGAGAGGAATAATTTTAACTTAGGAGCAATAAAGCTATATTGCAGAAATGATCAAGTACTGAGATGAAGAATCATATTCTGACTCCAATAGTAAGAAGGTGTTATAGCCACTGTGAAAATGACATGACACAGATAATGACATGACACAGATAAATAATGACATGATACAGATAAATAATGACATGACACAGATAAATATAAATTACATTTATATAAGAGAGAAAAATTGAAAGGCATAATACCATGACTGAGACAATACACAAATAACCCGCACACAAGAGAAAGAACTTATGACAACGTTTCAGTCCGACTAGGACTGGGCAGTTAATGTGGCTGGTTAATAGTACAAGTCGGACCAAAACATCGTCGTAAGTTCCTTTCTCCTATGTGCGGTAATTTGTGTACATAAAAGGGAAAATACATCCTAACACAACATGGTGATATCTATCAATACATTTTTAAGTTCAGCAGAAACTTGCGAGCAAAAAAAAAAAATCATTTTAATTTATAATTTTTCCAGTTTTTTCCATAATGCAACTAAATTAATGCATAGGCATACTCTAGTGCAAATTGTGGGGACCCAGAGTTTCAGGGAAGAAGATACATGTAGGGGAAGATCTACTATGAAACTAACTAATAAAGCTTCTGGGCCCCTAATCCCAGAGGGGCCCCAGAAGTGGTTTTAGTTCACATTGGTTAAAAGTTTTGGGTCTACTGTATGAGAATGGATTTTTAAAAAATAGTAACAGTGTAATTCAATACAAAATAATAATTAAAATAAAAATTAAAAGGTTATTAGAGTATCACGTAAGCTAGCCATTGCTGCTTGTAAAGGTGACCCAAAACAGTTCAAGCTTCATGGCCACAAAAATGTAGCTCTGCCACTTGACACTTGTATCTAATTTTGTAATGTTGTGGGCTGTTATTATATATAAATCTCTTGCAGTAAATATAAATCTCTAGTGACCAACACAATGTAAGTACACAATACACATTAGACCAAAATTGAAAAATGCCGTGGTATAGAATTTGCATCTAAAAAAACTTGCGAAGATAGAAAATGTCCAAAGAGGAGCTACAAAATGGCTCTCAAATCTAAAAAGCTGACTTATGAAGACAGAGCATTATGAAAAGACTTGAAAAAATTAATATGATACATTTCCAAACCCCATCAACATGTAAATCACAAGGCCAAAGATGTTAACTATGAAAAAAAGAACCAGAGAGAGGATACGAGAAAGCTTTTCTCTGCATGTAGCGGCAGGTTAATTTAATGTTTCACAAAACATTGTGGCAAGTGCTACAACCACAGGGATATTAAAAAATTATATGACAGATTAAATACTGACGATGGGACACACTGAATACAGGTGCTCCTCGATTTACTATGGGGTTACGTACCAACGAACCCATCATAAGTTGAAAATGAATATATGCTAAATAAGTAAATAAATAACTATGTTACTGAATAAGTAAATAAACAAATAATTACTGTAATTAAGATCAGTACCAATAAGTACATATATGAATACAAGTTATGGACTTGCCGCCTTCATGCTGGGTAATTATCCTAAGTTTCACCTCCAAAGTAACTGCTTTAGCACCATCGTAAAGTTGAAATATCAGAAGTTGAACTATTGTAGGTCAAGGAGCACCTGTGCGTGTTTCTAATCCTCCGCTTTAATGGGCATATATGCTGAAAATACAATGCTATGTTCTTTTTATTTTTTGGTTGATCATTAACCCTTTGACTGTTTTGGTCGTATATATATGTCTTACGAGCCAGTGTTTCAGACGTATATATACTCAATAATTCTAGCGGCTTCAAATCAAGCGGAAGAAAGCTGGTAGGCCCACATATGAGAGAATGGGTCTGTATGGTCAGTGTGCAACACATAAAAAAAATCCTGCAGCACACAGTGCGTAATGAGAAAAAAAAACTGATCGTTTTTTTTGGATTAAAACGCCGACTTTGAGGTGTATTTTCGTATAGTATTTATCGATGTATTTGCGTTTTCATGGTCTTAGGTGATAAAATGGAAAACATATTACAGAAATAGAGATGATTTTCATTACTTTGATGATGAAAACGTCCTTGAAACTGAGCTCAAAGTAGCGGAAATGTTCGATTTTTACCAATGTTCAGGAGTAAACAAATCACACCACACGTCCAATACACGTCAACTGGGGAGTCTAATATTCTTTCACTAGTGCACTGATATTATTTATACCATTTTTACAATAATGCAGTAGTCTGCATAACAGTAAATTTTGCATTTTTTTGTATGAATAAAAAATCAAAATAGAAAGCAATAATATAAGAGGGGCCTAGAGATGTGACTAATGAACAGAGGATATGTTATTTTAGTGCCAAGAATGTCTACCTTGTTTATTCTGGACCCTATTTTGAAATTGGCATCTTTTTTAGTTTGCGTGAAATTGGCCAAATTGCAATTTCTGACCACAATATTGGGTAGTCCAAATTGGTAAATGGGAGGTTTCTTGTACTCAGCTGATAGATAAAATGGAGTTCTAAAGAAATAGCTATGAGTTTGGTCAACTGGAATAACGGAATTGGCTGAAAATAGGGCTCAAAGTCGGCGAAATCGCCGATACACATATGTCGCCAAGACCGATAACTTCGCGGGAGCGTAATTCCACGAGTTTTCGACCAAATTTCGAACTTTTGGTATCATTACCATCGGGAAAAGAGTCTATATCATTTCATAAGAAAAAAATATTTTTTTTTTTTTTTCAAAAATTTAGCGACATAGAATGACAGTTTCAGAAAGGGGCCTGAAACAGTCAAAGGGTTAATGGGGTATGCCTTGAGGTATGTGAAGGGCTCTTGATCCTAGAAATTGGAAATGCACTTTTACTTGATTATATCCCATTCCACAGGTCCTGAATGACCCCTATGAGTTTAGCACTTTGCTATGAATATAATGAAGATTTTAGCTTATTAGGTAAAATGTTGAAATAAAGCTAGAATGGCTCTGATGGGTTATCTCTGCATAGATTATCACCATTTACCACATTGTAGAGTACGACTATAACAATTCTCTAAGGTGAACTAACCCTTTCACTGTTTACACCGTATAAATACGTCTTACGCACCACTGTTTCTGACGTATCTATACGCATAAATTCTAGCGGCTTCAAATCAAGCAGGAGAAAGCTGGTAGGCCCACATGTGAGAGAATGGGTCTCCATGGTCAGTGTGCACCATATAAAAAAAATCAGGGAGCCAGTGGTGCATTGTGGGAATGCCATTTCTGTTGTCCTTTTTCAGCATGCCTATCGGTAAGAAATATGTGATTCCCCAGCAAATCTGGGACTCTTCTCTTCCCAAGCGATGCTCTAATACAGATGGAAGTGTCAATGAAGATCAATTTCATGGTTTTGAGGAGTTTGAGACCAAAAGCAATGCCCAGGATACCAGAAGAATGGAGGAGGAGGAAGAGGAGGAGGAGGAGGAGGAGGAAGAAGGAAGGAGGAAGGAAGGAGGAGGGAGGAGGAGGAAGGAGGAGGAGGAAGGAGGAGGAGGAAGGAGAAGAGGAAAGAGGAAGGAGGAGGAGGAAGGAGGAGGAGGAAGGAGGGGGAGGAAGGAGGAGGAGGAAGGAGGAAGAGGAAGGAGGAAGAGGAAAGAGGAAGGAGGAGGAGGAAGGAGGAGGAGGAAGGAGGAGGAGGAAGGAGGAGGAGGAAGGAGGAGGAGGAAGGAGGAGGAGGAAGGAGGAGGAGGAAGGAGGAGGAGGAAGGAGGAGGAGGAGGAGGAGAAGGAGGAGGAGGGAGGAGGAGGAAGGAGGAGGAGGAGGGAGGAGGAGGAGGAGGAAGGAGGAGGAGGAGAAGGAGGAGGAAGGAGGAGGGAGGAGGAGGAAGGAGGAGGAGGAGGGAGGAGGAGGAGGAAGAAGGAAGAAGAAAAAGAAAAAGGAGAACAAGAAAATGATGATGATGTTCCCTTGAAGCATGGAAAACAGTTCACCCATGACAGTGACAAGATAAGGTGAGATAACCTCTGATAAGAGCTGACATTTGATGAGCGTAAACGAGGGTGGAGGGAGGGTGCAGCTGATAAGAAAAGATTAGATGACCATCCCCCTCACTTTGTTTTTGCTGGTACACAAACATTTCTGTCTGTCTATTTGTCTGTCTGCCAAGCTCCCTGTCTATCCGTCTAGCTCTCTGTCTCAGAGAGCCACAAGACTGCGTCATCACGTTTACTCACATCTTCAAGCAGAGTATAGCACTTTGTCTGGATTTCTTGGGTTATCCTAGGTAATTTACACTATGTATACTTGTATTTATGTGTACCTGTGAGACAGAGATAGAGAGACAGACAGATTGAAAGAGATAGAATGAGGGAGAAAGATAATTAGATAGAATGGAGGGGAAGCAGCATCTGACCCCATTGTTTTGACAGGCGGGAGGGGGAGTGAGTAATGAGATAATATGTCATTTTGACAGCTGCCGACCCCTGACTCAAAACAATTATAAGCCACACACTCGCACACAAGACAAGCTTGCTGAATGGAGATAATAGCAGTTATATCTAGTATCTAGTGACTATTTATGTGTATATATATTATAGAAACCAGAAGCAAGAAGGGAAGGCAGGAATGAAGGAAGGACAGATGAAGGAATGTTGGAAGAGAGGTAGGAAAGGAATGCAGGAAAGTAGGAATGATGACACACGACCATTTACCTAGGATAACTACCTAACACAACTGCCTGCTAATAATTTGAAGAAAACTGCTCAGACGAGGTGTTTTGTCTTTGCACATAAAAAAAAAGTCCACAAAAATGCACACACACTGGTTTTATGTGTGAGGAGTGTAAAACACCATTGTGCATGAAAACATGTTTCAAAGAGTTCCACAAGCTGCAGAACTTCTAGGAATATGTTCGGTGACTGTACAATGGTATATATATTATAGAACAATAGTAATAAAAAATTTTTTGTATTGTTTGTTTTTGTAAACAAGTTTTGTAAACAATATATTGATAATTATGTTTGTGTGCTTATTGTGTTGTATACGAGTGTATATATGTACATTGCACCTTACTTTGGTCTCATAGGCCACATAAGTTATGTGAAAAAATAAAATAGTTAATATGTTTATTATGCACCCCATACCCATCCTGTGGGCGGTAGTCAAAAGATTACAGAGGTACATAATTGGTCCAGGGACAAAATAAAATAGTGAAAAAAAAAACAAAAAACCTTCAAATACAAGTAAACTAAAGTTTACCGGGTGAGCGGCAGTCGCTGCTGTTGCCATACGCAGCTCATTTTCTGCAAACTTCACAGCTCTATATCTCGGTAAGTACTGATGGCAAAATTTTTTTTTGGGGGGGGGGGGGGACTAAAACACTCAGAAAAATAATCTTAACATTTTCATAAGAAAAAATTATTTTTTTTTTCGAATATTTTGTGACACAGAATGACAGTTTCAGAAAGGGGCCTGCGACAGTCAAAGGGTTAATATAAATTTTATGTAAAACATTTTATTGAAAACAAACTAAATAACTATACACATGAGTAAACCTAAAAATGGACAGAGGCTTGAACCTTGGTTCATGTCAATAATGGTGCAGACCACTATTAGACCTTCCATATATTCTGGATACATACAGGTGAATACAAACAGAAGGCATGTCTGTCTGGCTCTCAGCAGACAGAGGATCAAGCCTTCATCACATCTTATGCTTAATGACCCACATGGGTTTTATCCCTTAACATGAAATAAACATCCACCTGTTCTTCTGTTTATTCATTGACAGTCATTCATTATGGCATATCCTGACTTGAAAAACACGAACACACGTGCACACGGGAATAAACTTTTTTTTTTTTTTAACAATATGGCCGTCTCCCACTGAGGCAGGGTGACCAAAAGAAAAAAAAACTTTCACCATCATTCACACTATCACTGTCTTCAGAAGTGCACAGATACATATACAATTAATACTCACAACTTCCTAATGCCAGACTCTCCTCGCTTCCATGGAGCATCATCAGGCTCATAGGGCATTGGGCCTTGAACTGGAGGCTCCTCATCATCATCATCGTCATCATCGTCCGCTGCATCCCTGTAACACAACAGTTACTTGCCACTCTATCTCCTTCTCACCTGCTCAAGATTAAATCAAATCACATGTTGTTGTTAATAATGATTAAGACACATGTGCAACAGTTGGGTATCTTTATTGTTGAAATGTTTTACCAACACAGTAGGCTTCTTCAGTCAAATACAGAGGCAGCAGGTGTAGTATTGAAATGAAGATGATGTAATCAGTCCATCAACCTTGGAGAAATAGTTTTGACATGGTGAGTCCCTGAGCCCGGCTTAGAGACTGACCATCTTAAATATTATTTCTCCAAGGTTGATGGAGTGATTACATTATCCTCATTTCAATACTACACCTGCTGTCTCTGTATTTGACTGAAGAAGCCTACTGTATAGGTGAAACGTTTCAACAATAAAGATACCCAACTGTTGCACATGTGTCTTAATCATCAACTTATCAGTATTTTATAGCATTTTCAAAATACAGTGGACCCCCGCTTAACGATCACCTCCCAATGCGACCAATTATGTAAGTGTATTTATGTAAGCGCGTTTGTACGTGTATGTTTGGGGGTCTGAAATGGAAATCTACTTCACAATATTCCTTATGAGAACAAATTCGGTCAGTACTGGCACCTGAACATACTTCTGGAATGAAAAAATGTCGTTAACCGGGGGTCCACTGTACTCTTAGTAATAACTGATATACAAGTTAACTTAGTGAAAAAAAAAAATTGTCAGGTTGATTCATGGCATTTATTCCCATCTCATTCAACATATACAAATTATAATTTCTGACCAGTTTCTACTGATAATACTAAAAAATTACAAATGTAAATTAAAATGGAGAATAAATAATGCTGTACATACTGATTTGTGAAAATTATAAAATATGAAGCAATATATAGAAAGGCCCCATGTATTCAGCACCCTCTCTTCGGTGTTCCATGTTTTCGTTGACTTTCAACTGAACCACTGTTCATTATGTTCCACTGTTTTCACACAACAGTTGCATAATGGTAGGGTGACCGATGCCATATTTTATGTGCTGTGTATTTATTTTACTGTTTTATCTACTTTTTAAGGCCTAGCTGTATTAAGTACTTAACATATGATATTGTAAACATGTTACCAGGCAATTCAGATGCATTCAATAATGAAAAAACTGTTCTTTTCCACCCACCAGCGATTTTCACTTACCACATGAAGTCAGGAGCATAAGAGCCATACAAACAAAGGCCTCCTGTAAATGACTATTAAGGTAAAAAATTATTATATTTTTTTCAATAGAAGTATAATTATTAGATTAATTTTTATATTAAAAAAAGCTAAACCCTTATACAACTGTTATGATGAGATGTAGCATTTGTATCTGCAATGTCCCATTTCTATCTGTAATGTCCCATTTCTATCTGTAATGTCCCATTTTTACCTGTAATGTCCAATTTTTATCTGTAATGTCCCATTTCTATCTGTAATGTCCCATTTTTACCTGTAATGTCCAATTTTTATCTGTAATGTCCCATTTCTATCTGCAATCCCCCATTTCAATAAGTGAAGGGGTTCAGGGAAACCAGCGGGCCGGACTTGAGTCCTGGAGATGGGAAGTACAGTGCCTGCACTCTGAAGGAGGGGTGTTAATGTTGCAGTTTAAAAACTGTAGTGTAAAGCACCCTTCTGGCAAGACAGTGATGGAGTGAATGATGGTGAAAGTTTTTCTTTTTTGGGCCACCCTGCCTTGGTGGGAATCGGCCAGTGTGATAATAAAAAATAAAATAAAATTCTGTAAGCGCAACATACAGTCAATCCAATCAATGATATGCAATCAATGATGCTCTGAAAGTGTGCTGTGACCTTTTTATTATAAAACATTAAGTGTTAAAAGGAGCGAGTGGAGACTAGGTGACTTTTTTATTGGATGTGCTGTTGAGGTGCAAGCAAGTTATCTTTTATGAAGGAATTCAGGGAAAACTGGTTAGGTAGACTTGAGCCCTGGAGGTGAGGAGGGCAGTGCCTGCATTTGGAGGGTAATTTCACTGTGATATCAGTGTACTTTTGGATAGATGGCAATTGAATGAATGATAGTGAATATGTTTTTCTTCTTCAGGTCACCCTGCCTCTTGGCAAGAGGTGGTCATTAGAGTTAAATAATCATAATAAAAATAATAACAATAATAAAATAATAATAATAATAATGACAGTAAGAAAAATATGGATAATAAGAATAATAACACTAAGTGTGGAATTAAGTGTTAATGACCTGAATGAGCATAGTAAAGACAGCTGCCATGGTCCTGGAAAACATATATCACATAAAACAAGGCAGCCTTTCTGTTTGCTTCAAAACTTTGTAATACAGCTAGGTCTCAATTAGTGCAAATACTGAATCCTGTGGAGTGGTTGCATTATTCAAATTCACACTTTTCGAAATGTATGTAATTTCTGCACGTGATTTAAAGAGCTTGGGCAAAAAGCTAGCATTAATTAACTTCATGTTAAATTGAAATTTGCACTATTCGAACTCTAATGGAGACTTCGCTGTATAAGCAATATACAGGAGGGCCCCACTTTACAGCATTTCATTTTACAGCTAATACAGTGGTTTTAATTAAAAGCACAAATTATGCTATCATACACATGCTAGAACTAATATATATCGCACTTGAAAAGAAAGAAGTCCCGCTGGGCATTTTCATTGATTTACATAAAGCTTTCGATACTGTCGACCATGAACTGCTGTACTCCAAATTAACATACTATGGTATCAGAGGCCACTCCCTCAACTACCTAAAATCATACCTTAGTAACAGAACTCAATATGTGTATGCAAATGATGCAAACTCTTCCACTCAACCAATCACAGTAGGAGTCCCACAAGTGTCCTTGGACCACTCCTCTTTCTCATCTACATCAATGATCTACCGAATGCATCATTGCTACTCAAACCCACATTATTTGCAGAAGACACTACATATGTCTTTTCCCACCCAAACACAGTCATACTAGCAGACACAGTCAATGCCGAATTGCAGAAAATACAGTGGACCCCCGCATAACGATCACCTCCCAATGCGACCAATTATGTAAGTGTATTTATGTAAGTGCGTTTGTACGTGTATGTTTGGGGGTCTGAAATGGACTAATCTACTTCTCAATATTCCTTATGGGAACAAATTCGGTCAGTACTGGCACCTGAACATACTTCTGGAATGAAAAAATATCGTTAACTGGGGGTCCACTGTATCTGCCTGGATGATGACTAATAAACTTACCCTGAATACTGACAAAACCTATTTCATTCAGTTTGGAAACAAAGCTGCAAATGATCCAATTAACGTAACACTGAACAGATCATCAGTCACAAGACTCAGAGGGAAAATTCCTAGGTATCCACCTTGACAGTAGCCTTAAGTTCCAGACACACGTACAACAAATCACCAAGAAAATCTCCAAGACTGTAGGCATACTATCAAAGATAAGGTACTATGTTCCACAATCAGCTCTCCTGGCACTGTACCATTCACTCATATACCCTTATCTTACATATGGAATATGTGCATGGGGATCAACAACATTCAATCATCTAAAATCTCTAATAACCCAGCAAAAGGAAGCAGTAACAATGATAAATTCCCACTCCCGCCAGCATACTCCACCAATTTTCAAAAGTCTGAATCTGCTCACCATTAAGAACATCCATACTTATTCATGTGCCTACTACATACACAGAACAATACATGCAAATATAAACCTTCCACTCAAACTTCTCCTCACCAACCTTAACAGGACACATGACCACAACACAAGACACAGATCTCTTTTTGATATACCTCGTGTATACCATATCACACTGTGTAAAAACTCTATGTACATAAAAGGCCCCAAAATATGGAATTCATTACCAGAAGATATTAAAGTAACCCGGTCTGAAAATCAATTTAAGACTCTTCTCAAAAGCCACTTAACCCTTTCAGGGTTTCTGATGTACTAGTACAGCTTACGCACCAGGGTTTTTGACGTACTAGTACGCCTAAATTTTAGCACCCTCAAATCTATTGAGAGAAAGCTGGCAGGCCTACATATGAAAGAATGGGTCAATGTGGTCAGTGTGCGCAGTATAAAAAAATCCTGCAGCATACAGTGCGTAATGAGAAAAAAAAAACTTTGACAGTGTTTTTGGTTTAAAACAGTGACTTTGCACTGTATTATCGTATGGTATTTATGACGGTATTCTAGTTTTCCTGGTCTCATTTTATAGAATGGAAGACATATTACAGAAACTGAGACAATTTTGATTGGTTTTACAATGAAAAGTACCTTGAAATTGAGCTCAAATTAGCAGAAATCTTCAATTTTTGCCAAAGTTCAAAAGTAAACAAATCATGCTATGCATCCAATACACGTCAACTGGTAAGTCTAATATTCTTTCACAAGTGCGCTGATATTATTTATACCATTTCTACACTAATGCAGTAGTCTACATAACAGTAAATCTTCTACCTTTTGTGAGAATAAAAATTCAAAGTGGAAAGCAAAAGAATGTAAGAGGGGCGTGGGAACATGACTAATGAACAGAGGAAGTGTTATTTTAAGTGCCAGGAATGTCTTTCTTATTTATTCTGGACCCTATTTGGAAATTGGCATCTTTGAAATTTGTGTGAAATTGGCAAAATTGCTAAATTCTGACCACTTTATTGGATAGTTGAAATTGGTAAATGGGTGGTTTCTTGTACTCATTTGTTAGAAAAAATTAAGCTCTAGCAAAATAGTTATGATTTTTGTCGACTAGTACACTGGAACTGCCCGAAAATAGGGCTCAAAGTGGGCAAAATCGCCGATGCGTAAACATCGTTGAGACCGCTAACTTCGCGAGAGCATAATTCCGTAAGTTTTCCATCAAATTTCATACTTTTGGTGTCATTATGATCGGGAAAATATTCTCTATCTTCTCATAAGAAAAAATTTTTTTTTTTTTTTTAAAATATGTCGACCCTGAGAACAAGTCTGGGAGAGGGCCTGTCG